GAGAAAGACAATCAGATTAATACAATATACTTGTTGTCAGCTGCCCTGCTGTTGGCTTCAACTCCCGGCAACCTTATTATGTATAACATAACAGTACTTGGACTATGCCTGCACTAGCTTTGTGATCTTTGAGCCCATTGTTTCAGTCATTTTATTAATCCATCTCATGGAAGGTTGCCCTCATTTTGCTGAACTCCAACTTTACCAAACATGATGTCCTTTTCTAGCAATAGGTCTTTGCTGATGGCATGTTCAAAGTAATAAGTCAAAGTGTCATCATCCTTGCTTCAAAGGAGCAGTGTGGTTGCTTTTTCTTCTAACACTGGTTTGTTTGTTCTTCTTCTGGCCCAGGATATAATCCATACTCTCTGCTAACATCACAATTTGAATGCCTCGATCATTCCCTTTTCTTCTTTGCTAATTGTGCAGCTTTTGCTTGCATCTGAGGCCACTGAAATATCATGACATGGGTCTGACCCACCTTAGTCATCAAAGTGACATCTTTGCTCTTGAACACTTTAAAGAGACCTTTTTGCAGCAGATACTCCAAATGCAAGAAAGATGAGGCTTTCTATTCCCATAAAGATTTACGGCCTCAGAAACTCTATACAGGATCGCTACAAGTTGGAGCCAACTTGAGGGCACACAACCACCACCACCATTCCAAATGCAATATGTCATTTGATTTCTTGACTATTGCTTCCGTGAATATTGATTGTTGATGCAAGTAGATTAAAATTTTGTTGTTATTAACTATGTTCTGCTCAGTTCCAACTTACAGTGACCCTGTATAGTATAGATTCTCCAAGGAGTGGCTGATGAGATTGGACCACCAACTTTGCTATTAGGAGTCTACTGCTTATCCTACAGTGTCAAACCAAGACGGTGTTAAATATTTTGTTGATGGTCTTAAGCCCATGAATCTATGGAAATGCATGACCTACTGTAGTCCAAATGGTTTGTGAGTGAATATGATATTTTCTGAACGCTTTCAATGCATGTTGTTGTTTTGAGCCATCGAGTCAGTTCCAACTCATAGCAATCCTGTGTAGGGTTTCCGAGAGTGGATGGTGGGTTTGAACTGCAGGTCTTGCAGTGCACAGTCCAGTGTATAATCTATAGTAACACATCAGGACCCTTTAGATTCATACTAAAATGCAAATAGAAGTCAATGTAATTGCTAATAGAAAAGAGGAATCAGAATTATTTTTTTTGTAATTATGTTATGAAATATCTAGTGAATTTAAGGGGAATAAAGTAAAACATATTTCATAAAATAACTGGATTTATGTTCATTATGTAAAAATTTTTCAAACTAATGAAACATGCTTTGAAATATGTTGTTCTTAAGTGCCATAGAGTTGGTTATAACTCATAATGACACTGTATAGGGTTTCTGAGGAGTGGCTGGTGGATTTGAACTGCCGACCTTGAGGTCCAGTGCTTGCCCTACAGCATATCTGATTTATAACATAATGTTTGTAATGTGCATTGCTATAGATATTCCACTTTAAAACTGAACTTGCCTATTGTAGCTTATTTACTATTTCAGAAGTATCACTTTCTTAAGTGAAAGAAATCCTGTGTGAAGATTTTGTTTGAAATTAGTTTGTGAAGAATCACCGTCTTTTTCTTTGAATTTTATAGGATGTTACAAAGGAAAATATAAGAAATACTGTATATTGCCAGAAGAATTAACAACAGCTAACGTTGCATATTTTTCCTTGTTAAATAGGTAGAGCTTTATAGACAAAATTTATATACTCTATATTCTTATCTATAAGCCCTTTTCCTACCATTTCTTGGGTTCCCAGAGACAAGACACTCATATGTAGAGTGTGACTACTTTATACATGACTATAAAGGTATATAAATATCTGGCATCCTGGTGTGCCTCTGTGGGTTAATACTGGTAAAAGATAGTGAAGTCATTTGAACCACAAAATTGGCGGTTCAAGTTTCCCAGCTTGCCCTTTGGAAGCCCTATACAGGGTCACACGTAACAACAACAACATATAAATATCTATCTATAAATCATATATAACCATGGTGTGCTTTTTAAAACACTTAGACTCATGTGACTAACTCTGCTTCTGGGTTCTTTATTTGGTTTCCATAATCTTCCTGCCTTTAATAACATACTAATTTAATCACTACAGTTTAATAGTGAGTAGCAAAGTCTGGTAAGGAAAACCATCCTTTGTTCCTAGGCAATAAGTTCAGAATTTCCTTAGCTATTCCATAATATTTGTTTTGCTACAGACATTTAAAATCAGTTTGATTGCAAAATTAAGAAAAAAGAACAAACTTGGTTGTGATTTTTACTGAGAAATTTTTACATTGTTTCAACATCTATGTCTGTAAGTCATGATTACGGTAAAACTTTCTGTGTCACTGGATATGTCTTAGGCCCTTCAATAGCTTTTCATAGTTTGTACATAAATGGAAACATAAATGCAGTACTGATGCATTATGAAACATAAATGCAGAGCATGAAATCTGAAGGCTATTGCCTGGGAATGACTCCAGCCAGGCAAAGCTTACTTTCATCGTGTGACTAGGTTTAAGTGTTCGGATGCCAATGTTCTTGAAGTACCTCATGCACCTCTGATGGCTGGACTGTCAGACTTAGAAGTTTAAAAATGAGTTTAGGGACACTTTCTCACAGGAACCTTCCTGGGCAAACCCCTTAATACTCATCTGCTTGTGATATCATACTCCAAGAGCCTCAGAGTCAGTCTGTAAGCTTTTCCATCTTCAGTAGTTCCCGTCTTGCTCTCCCTAGGACAGGCATGCTTATGAGACGCATTGCTGCCATCAGTTGTGGTTGTTGTTGTTGGAAATGCCGTTGAGTCGGTTCCGACCCATAGCGACCCTGTGTAGGGTTTTCAAGGAGCTGCTGGTGAGCTTGAACCACGGATCTTGCAGTTCAAACAGCTTTGCAGTCTGGCACATTAACCCACAGCGCCACACCTGGACTCTTCAGTTGTGGTGGTGATGGGTAGAAATCCCTTTGTTCTCTTGCTCTATAAAAGGTCTAGAGCTAGAACTTTGGAAGTTCAGCATACAATATGCAGCACGTATAAATACTTAATAAAGAGTATTTATAA